GTGAGGCTGAGCAAAGGGTCTCTCCATAGCCATCCAGGAGTTTGGCTTATTCAATTATTTTCATATGGAACTTCTATTTTTAAGTTGGAAGAATCGTGGGGACTTGGAAGGACTGCTTAATACCTGTCACTCAAGTGGCCCCCACACCGATCTTTCCCGTGCCAGGCTGTATTTACTGGCCAGAGCTGCCCCGGGCCAGAGGCTCTCCAGCCTGGCGCTGCCACAAGGAAAACTGCTCCTCCACTAAGGGCAGCTCTGGCCCCTCTGACGCCAGAGGAGACTCTGAAATGATACGTTTGTTCTGCTTTTACTGCTGCAGTTTTTTTTTTTTTTTAAGAATTGCTACACTAGAATGAATGGATTATGAGTAAATAAAAAGAAGCTGTCAGTCTCTTTGAAGGTTGTGTTTAAAGGGACTTGCCACGTCAGGACAGAAGAGTGACAAGATAGAGACCCTGGTGCTTTACAGGCTCAGCCCGGCTCTTCCGCTTCATCTGCACCGCACTAAAGGATGTGTTGAGGCATTGAATCACAAAAAAAGTGGCACGCAAAATAAAAGGTGCCACATCACAATGATTGTAGTGTTTTATTTAACTGCGGAGTGCCACATTACCCAACCCAATTGAAACGCAGGTCTACACAGACGAAGAATACCGAACAATACTTACATAACTTATAATTAAGTTGAAGTCTGCCTAACATTTGACTTTCTAATGAGTGTAATGAGATTACATGCCTGATAGAAGCATTTGTGCCAAAGCAACTTTCATGTTTAATGGGGCTCTATTACAGGACAAAATCGAATTATTTTCTCTCGTTCCCAAATTCTGTCTGCAGTGTGAAATCTCCATCTTCTAGGGGGAGGGCCGGGAGAAGCTGCGAAGGCCGAAAGGGGTGAGAGGGTCCACGGCCAAGGGCCTCCTGGGAGCTTCTCGACCCAGAACCTCCGCGGGTCTGGCCAGGCCGCGCTTCGGGGTCGGGCTCGCGGCCTCGCTTTAATTGCACTTGGACGAGGTCCATGGCACCCGCGGTGCGCGAGGAACCCCTCGGTGGGTCTGAAACTAGGTTAAAGCAATTAGCATGCTGCCGACATATTGTCCTGCGGCAGGCCCGTGGGTACCGGGGAGATCCGCCGCCGTACCTTGGCTGTCCGAGCGCGGCGGGGCGGCGGGGCTGGGCACCTCGCCTTGGCCGGGCCTGCAGGCGCGGGGGCCGTGGCTCCGCCGGAAGGTGCGCGCCCGCCGCGCGCGCGGGGCCCCGGGCCCACAGCGGAGGGCGCCCCGGGAGCCCCGAGGCCCCGGGCAGTCCCGCAGGAGACCCGCGGAAGCCGGGTCTCCGGGGCTTTCCCAGTGAGCGCCCCCGGCCGCGCCCCGGCGCCTCTCCCCTTCGCTAGGGGGCTCCCTCCTCGGGAGGCTCGCCTTCTCCCCAGGCTGCTTGCCAAGGAAGACGAGATTCTGCTGGAGACCAAACGGAGTCGGTTTTAAAAATAATTCAGCTGCACGAGTGGCGGAGGAGCGGGCTCCTCGCCTTATTGAAAGGACTCTGGATTTTGATGGGAGGCATCCGAGGGGTCTCCCGGCCTTAGCACAGTCGTCTACCCCATCTCCTTTGAGAGGAGTCCTCCGAGGTCCACACACCTAATGCTGTTACTACACAAGGGATGGGTCACAGGGCAAGCTCAAGGGCAGCCCTTGGAAGCACCGGTGACCCCCTCCCTTGGCCAGCCCGGAAAGTAGCCCCCTGTTCTCCCTGGACCCGATTCACCTCAAGCCCTATGGTTCAACAGGGTAGGGGTGACCTTGAGCAAGTCACACATTCCTCTCCGGGCCCTGGCTTTCCCCTCTGAAAAAATGGGAATAATAAATACAGCATGATCTATTTCCCTCTTAGGGTGTTTGGAGGATAGGATAAAAATACAGGCCAAATTTACCATGTAGGGCAGCAAATGCAGATGGAGGGTCCTCTTGGAGACTTGGGTCCTAACCGTCCAGCCCACCCACCCACTTTCCAGCAAAATGGAACTAAAACGAGGTTTATTACTAGATAGCTACATTTTGCATGTCTGGTTCAGTTATCTTTTACAGACTAAGTTAATTCTTCTAAAAACATAGTTACCCTCATCATATATGAAACAAATAACTTTTAGAAAAAGGTGTAAATCGCATTTATTAACATCGCTTAGAAATAAGCCATATCTGGCAATAAATTAGCATGACGTTTTCCGGCCAGAGTTCTTCCAACAACGCAGAGGTCTGCCAAAGGTGCTGGGGGAGATCATAGGCTATTGCATATTTTTTTAGAAAATCAGGATAAATTATATAAATTATATACTTAAAAAGAGATCGTCTATTTCATTAACTCGACAGGATAATAAATAGATAAATAACAAACAGTTGATTGCCATTAGAAAAAAAATGTGATTCTTAAATTACATTATAGATATTTACATGTACAATATGCACAGAGACATAATCAGATCCTCAGGCGAGTCTGGGACTTCTCAGGACACAAACTCAAAGGGCGGTTCGTTTTCTATGTTGTTGAAGGAAGATTTGCTGTTGAGTTTTCTGGGGTCCTCTGGGGTCCACACTTTGGCTGTTCGGATAGTATTTTGCTCTTTGAGTTGCTTTTCGTCAGTCCATGAGAGGGAATGTCCTGCAAGGGGAGGGAGGCCGTAATCCGGGTCGCTGGGGGAGGGGGACCCTGAGGAGGTGAGAAGAGAAAACAGACCATGAACGTCCAACTCTATTCCCAGCGGTGCCCTCCGGTCCTTTAGGATCCCCTCCTGGGCGCCGCGACGGGACGGGCGTCTTTGGTTACCATTAGAAGGAACCCTCTTCCTCCACTCCCCCAGCCCCCCAGCGCCCCCTCCCCGGAATCCCTGGAGCTGCAAGTCAGTCTGGGACGCACGCCCTCCCAGCCGCGGTCAAGGGGCGGAACACCCCGCCGCCCCCGCCCCGCGAGACGCCAGCTCGTGCTCCAGGTCGCCGGCGCCCACGGACCATCACCTCTCCGCCCGTCGGTCGGCGCGTGGGCCGGTTCCCCCAGCCCCTCCGGGCCCTTCTCGCGCCCGTCCCCGTCTCCCAGGGCCGGCCGGCGGACGCACTTACGGGTGCCCCGATGGCAGATGATGACCTTCTGGGCCTGGCCTCCGGGGCTGTCCCCGCCCAGGCGCCCGCCGCCGCCCGGCCCCCCGCCGCCGGCCGCGCCGCCCCCGCGCAGCGGCAGGTCGGCCTGCACCAGCTCGCTGAGGAAGTTGATGTAGCCGATGGCCAGGCGCAGCGTGTCCACCTTGGAGAGGCGCTTCTCGTAGGGCAGCGTGGGGATGTGCGAGCGCAGTCCCTCGAAGGCGTCGTTGATGGACTGCATGCGCCGCCGCTCGCGCACGTTGGCCGCCTGCCGCAGCTGCTGCAGCTCCGCCTCGGAGCGCACCCGCCGCCGCCGCCGCGCCGCCGCCGCCGCCGCCGCCGCCGCCGCGCCGCTCAGACCGCGCAGCCTGGCTCCGGGGGACAGCACCGCCGCCCCCGCGCACGGGTAGGCCAGGCACGAGGGCGGCGAGCCGGGCGAGTAGGGGAAGCCGCCGGGGCGCGCCCCTGCGTCGCGGCAGTAGCTGCCGCCCTCCGGCTCGCCGGGGCCCCCCGGGGGCGGCGGGGCGAGCGCGTGCGGGGCGGCCGGGGGCGCGGGCGGCAGCAGCAGGCACGCCCCGTCGCGGCAGCAGTACTCGTGCAGCTGGTGGCTGAGGAACTCCACCTCGGCCTGCTCGTCGGCCAGCAGCTCATCGCCGTCCTCCAGGGGGTCCCGGGAGGACTGGTCGGTGAAGAAGTCCTCCTCGTCAAAGTAAGGCGACGGGAAGGCGTCCAGGCCCCCGGGGAAGTGCTCCAGCAGCACCGCGTCCATGCTCCGCGCCGCCCGCCGCGGGCCCCAGGGGCTCCTCCGGGAGCTGGACGTGGCGGCCCCCTCCCTCGCGGGCGGGGCGCGGGCGGCGGGGAGGACCGGCGCGCGCTGCCCGCCCCCGGCCTCCCTGCAGTGTCGGCGGCCGCTGGGCTCTGGCCGGGCCCGCGCTGCGCCGGGGAGGGCTGCGCCGACTCGCTGGAGCTGAGGGCCGGCACGCGAGGATTCTTATAACTACATCCACAGGCGCGTGCCAGGGACCCGCGGCGCCAGCCAATCACCGAGAGCGGGGTGCCGGCGGGGAGGGGGCGGCGAGGCCCCGGCGGCGGCGCGGGGGCCGCGGCGGCTCTGCTCCCAGTGGGAGCTCCCGGGGCGAAGCGGAGGCGGGGCCCGCGCGGCCCGCCCCGCCGGCGAGGCTCCCGGGGGCGTCCGTCCGCTGTCCCCGCGCGCCGCGCGAAGCCGGGCCCTGCCGCCCCGGGGCGCGGGGCGCGGGGCGCGGGGCGCGGCGCTGCCACCGAAGGTCCCGTGGGTGCGCGGCGGCGGCGGCGGCGGCGGCTGCGGCGGAGCGGGTCGCCCGCGGAGCTCGCTCCTCCTGGCAGTGGGCGCCCTGGGTCGCCCGGGAGGGGTCCCCTCGCCGCCCGCACCCCGGTCGCGCGCCGGCCTCCCGCCCGAGTCCCGCCGGGCCTCCGCCCCTCGCCGGCGCCGCGAGGACCCCGGCCAAGTGTGCGCGGTGTGCGCCGGCGGGGCTGCGAGGCGACGCGGCGCGGCTCCCGGCTGTTCCAGACCCTGCGCGGAGCCCCGGGGCGCGAGCCTGCGGCCCCCTCCGCCCCGCCCCGCCCCGCCCGAGGAAGACCTGGGCACCCAGGAGGGGCGGCCTCGGAGAGCGGCTCCGGGGGGCACCTTTCTTCTGAGAGCAAACCCAGAGACGCTAGGGGTCCGGAGCAATAAAACCTGATACAAAAGAAGCCCGAGGACCCGTCTGCTCTGGAGCGGTCCGGAGGGAGGGCGTGAAAGTTAAAGGGCGGAGGGTGAACCCTTTCAGAGCCCGAGCCCCTCACCTTTCCGGCTGGCCACCGGGACGGTCCCTGAATGAGGTTTATTCTTTCTTGACCTTAAGTTAAAAATTTAAACAACAACAGCAACCACACCCAAACACAAAACGTGTGCGCTCTGCCCTTGACACGCTTTACCACAGCCTGCGAGGCGGCGTGAATTCTTCAGCTTAAGAGACACTTTGAAGGTCGGGGCAATTCCTGTAAGAAGCCAAGCTCCAACTTGCACCCCGGGAGAGTAAAGTTCTCCGTTCTCTCAACAGAGGACTGAGAGCCAAGGGCTTCGTGGGTCAGCCACTTCCTTTTCCAGACACTTGTCTCACCAGAGGCTTCGAGGGGTGGTTTTCAGGCTCCTCTCAAAATCCGAAGCCAGGCCCTTTAAGAACAGCAATTTCAACACGCTTCTTTGGATTTAGATATCACCCTGCATTTGATTCAATTCTGAGACCCAAAAGTCGTGTGCAAAAATTACATAGGACTAGAAGATGAGAGATTACCACACCCTGAACTGTTGAAAACCCCAAGTAACTTTAACCCAAAGACTTATGGGTTTTTTTTAATAAATTTATTTTTATTGGTGTTCACTTTGCCAGCATACAGAAAACACCCAGTGCTCATCCTGTCAAGTGCCCCCCTCAGTGCCCGTCACCCATTCACCCCCACCCCCCGCCCTCCTCCCCCTCCACCACCCCTAGTTCATTTCCCAGAGTTAGGAGTCTTCATGTTCTGTCTCCCTTTCTGATATTTCCCACACATTTCTTCTCCCTTCCCTTATATTCCCCTTCACTATTATTCATATTCCCCAAATGAGTGAGAACATACACTGTTTGTCCTTCTCCGATTGACTTACTTCACTCAGCATAATACCCTCCAGTTCCACCCACGTTGAAGCAAATGGTGGGTATTTGTCGTTTCTAATGGCTGAGGAATATTCCATTGTATACATAGACCACTGCTTCTTTATCCATTCATCTTTCGATGGACACCGAGGCTCCTTCCACAGTTTGGCTATTGTGGTCTAATGGTTTTAAGGCAAGTTCTTTCAAGTGTCAGCAGTTGCCCCTTCCTAGTGAAATGGTTATCCTTAAGGTGGCGAAAATGTGCACAAGTACTCTGTGTCAGACCCTGAGCTGCAATTTCCTGCATCTAGATTTATCTTTCTTGCCTCAGAGAGAAGGAAGCTATTGGGGTTGGGCGTCAGGACCCCAGATCTAGCCAGCTGGTGGTGTGCACCCTATTCTCTTTACGTCTAATAGGCCCTCAATCTCCTTCCCTCACTTGGTTAGACTGAAATTAAGTGGGAGCATGCTCTTGGATCAATCTAAGGACTTTGGAAGAGTAAGGAATGATCAGACCTCAAAGCCTTATCTTTGGATATTGCTGGCCCTTCAGTGAAGGAAAGATTGGATTACAGCCTACAAAGGCTGTCTCTTCAAGAGGCTGAGAGGCCTTCTCTGATAGATTTAGGTGGATCTTGAGAAAGTGTGTCATGGATATGTTGGGGGGCACTAGGGGTTTGGGGAGTCAGTAGGTGTGTATATGTATATCTTTTTACCCAATGTGATTTTAAGTGAGCTTGCGCAGAAAATCATCTTACGTATGCTCGGTGAGTTTGTGGTAGAGTACAGAAAACTATTCTGGGCACCCAGGTGAGATAATAAGTGCCCTGGAAACTTACTGCCCCGTGAGGCTGAGCAGAGCTAGTAGCATGGAGATTCTGGGCAGTTCCTGAGGCTTCCTGGATGAGCATGGGGAAGGAGGGAAAAAGGTACTTACTTGCTCCAGACATAACCCCCTTCACCCTCTTGCTGCTCACCCCTGCTATTTTCCCCTTCGAGAACCACGGTCTGGAGACCAGTCCTATTGGGAAGAAGGGCTAGGCTTGCAGACGCTGATACTGGAGTATTGGTGTGGGCATGCATGTAAGTAAGACATGATTGTTCTTTTCTCTAATAAAAAGAAGAAAGACTTCACCACTAATAAAGGAAATTTTCTCTGGGTCACTGGAGGTCACAGCAGTGTGGATGGCTGCCCTCTGCCTCTGGAAGCAACCCATTGGTTGAGGAAATGGCTAGAGGCCCAATTCTCATTCCAGCCCCTCCCTCCACATTTTGTGGATCCTCTGGGCAGTGGGGAAACATGGAGAGGGACAAGATCAACAGGTTCCAGGTACTTCGTGAGACAGGGACAGAACTGGTCCCCTGAGCTGCAAGCCTCTCCACCCACTGCTGAGGTCCAGCATCTTTTTCTTCCCACTCTCTGTTCTCAGGAGAGATGGCCCCTATCCTTCAAAGGAAGCTCTGCCTCATTTTATTTTATTTTTTAAAGATTTTATGTATTTATTCATGAGAGACACACAGAGAGAGGCAGAGACACATGCTGAGGGAAAGGCGGGCCAGGACCCGTCACGCCCTGAGCCAAAGGCAGACACTCAACCAATAAGCCCCCCAGGTGCCCCTCTGCCTCATTTTAAAATAACAGCCAGCCCCTAGAGTAGGCAGTGGCAGGGGCACTTGGTTCTTCTTAGTACAAAATCCTGGTGATGCCTTGAGATTCTTTTACAGATCTTTCCAAAGTTGCTCAGTGGCACCTGCTGTCTGCAACCGGTTGATTCCTACCACACTTGTGTGAGGGTTGCTCAGGAGCCTTGTACTGTCTTTGAGGTTCTCAGTTCCAGGGGAACTTCTGGCAAGGGCCTCTGGCATTGAGGAAGCCTTGGTGTCTGCTCCCTCACCCCAGTCTCTCAGCTCTCCCTCCCAGGAGTCTCAAGGACCTGAACACTTGTTAATTTGTTTCCCATCATGCCTTGGCTTTTGGGACCGATGACTGGAGGGTTAGAGCCGAGGACCCTGGCTCCTTCCCAGGCTGAGTGTCAGGCAAAGGGCACTAATGAAGAATGGGACCTGCAGGCTCTCCATCATTCAGCTTGCCCTTCCCACATTCCAAGTGTTCCTGCCTGCTTGGCATACATCCCCCCTGCTGGAACCCAAAGTCCACAGAAACCACAGTATCCCATACTCCTCATTCAGTGCTTGCAAGCAGGTACTTGAGGAGGTGACTCATGGTCTGTCTCCCAACTTGAAAATGGGTCCACGTTAATACCTCATAACCCAGATTGTCCCCTTCCTCACTAATACACACAGAGGTGATGTCAGGCAGTTGTTTGTGATCTCCTAGATCTGTTTCCAATTTCTTTGCTACTCCTCCCCACTCCCCTATTCTGTGAAACTTTTCTTTTCTCCACATTAGTACCCTCAGGAGCCCATTCTTTATCCTTATACTCTTGGGAAAGGATTTGAAAACTAGAATCATGGGGTTAATGGTGAAAGGTTTCTGAGGCCCAGAGAGGTTCAGTGACTTCCCTAAGGTCACACAGCAGGTGACCTCAGCCCAGTGCCCTTTCCACTGGCTGCTGAGAGCTGGTTCTGGCCCTGCCTCTGCCCACTCATAAAGGGCATATTCATATTGTTGTGCAATGGAGACAGTCCAGGCTCTGTTACCAGGCCCAGGTTACCAAGTACCACTTTTCTGGCCTCCCTATCTCTTGACTGCACTGCAGATACCCCAGCACCTCCTGAACATTGAAGAAGATATCACTGAATAGTGCAATTCCTGGCATAAGACAAAGTATGCAAAATTTAATAAGGGATCATGGGATTTTCTCGTGGCCCAAAGTCACACTGTATTGATTATGGACGGTTTTTCCCCTGAGAAGGCCCACTGTGGGATCTTGTGACACTTTGTTCCATCCTGAAAATGACAGACCTAGATGATGCTGAACTCCTTGACACAGCTTTCGAAGCCTTCCTTGAACTACCCCTGCCAGCCTCTCCATGCCCCTTGGGTACTCTTTCCTCCATCTGTAATTAATGTTCCATTTCTTCTGATGCCCTGAGGATTTCTGCTTTTGTTTCTCTCCTACGGTCCTTTGCTCTAGCCTGAGATCCTTGAATT